TTTTCAACCTTCCCCATGCCCCAGCGCGTGAATTAGATAGCCGAGCAAACATCACCTTCGAGTCCGTCGCGTTTGATGCAAGTTCAACGAGTGAGGGCCCACATGCCGGTAAACAAACAATCGATATATAGAGGGCGGCTATCGTTAATTTTCTTTATTTCACGTAGGTATGTAGTAAAGAAATTGTCCTATAAATACTGTGAATTCGTGATACCCCCCGTGTGCTGCCGTTTTATGCTCATATATCTGATGAACTGTCCACGATGAATGTTAAAACATCAGGCAAATAAACATGATGTCCTAGTGATTGAATCGTCCCCTCACTTACTTCCCAGGCCTCCATGTTCGCTCGTATAGCAGTACCAAGGAACTTTTACGTAGCGTGAATGGTGTTTACCAGTATGTAAGGGAATATTGAAACAATTTTGTTATCCATGATTCATTGAAATAACAACAATTACCTCTCACTACCCTACTTGGTCTGCTTTCGCGGATAACGGATGAACAGGTGTGACCACTATCTGTCTCTAAACGGTATTTACCTTAAACGGAACCATTTACGGGCAGGTCAAGGTCACGCAATGGGTTAACACACGTCCAGACTCATAGCCGATGGGATCTTGCTACGGCCGGAGTCGCTGGATTACCGACACTACGGACCGCAATTCTGGGCTCTATATGTGGACGACACGTTCGTCGCAATTGAGCTGACATTTCAAGAAACATTTAAATGTCGTCCTCTCAGACACTCATGTTACCAAGGCAACCAGATGGCCTTCCTGAATTTCCTCGTTTGCAGCAAAAACCGTGGTGACTTAAAACTAAATGTCCCGGAAAGCGAGAAAAACTGTGTAAGTCCCGATCTGCAGGTTTATTTTGAACAGAGGTATGTACGGCATCCCAGACAAAGGAAACTGTTCTTTGCCCATTCCTCTCAAGTCTAACGACGACCTGGGGATCCAGTGTCGAAAATTTTCTGAATAAATTTATGGATTTTCCCCAACGACGCCTTTCCTTGGAAAGGACAAGTTATATCAACAAAGGAAGGCAAGGGCAACGTGGTCTCAAAACTGCAATAAAGCAAATTCCTTGTTCAAAGCAAAATATGGCGTATTTTGTCCCGTCTAGCCTGATACCGAATTCCATTGCGAAACCTTAACGAGACTTACTGAAATTATGGTCCACCTACTTTAAAACAAATTGTCAGAGGTTAACACACTGACAGTTTTTTTTAATCTGGATAAAGTGTCTGCCTTTGCATGTGGTTTGTTGTGACATATGACTCTAAATTACTTAATTCCATTTTGACGGCCGTATTGATGGCGTTGTCATTGCGTCATAACTATCTTACATGCTTTCAAGCGAAGCAAATCCTGCGCTGTGTATTCGGTGCTGAGATATTGCTTTGGTAGGGTAGAGAGTCAGGCGTAGGGCTTATGAATGTTCACTGTTCTACTGACATCATCAGTTATCCAAATTACCTTCGAACGCCGAATTTACTCATATGATTTCATGTGACTGCGGCCTTGGTATTGTGATAACGACATAAGTGCAAGCAATCATAGTTACCTGCTTAAACATATGTTCGATGAAGTCATACCTGCATTTTCGTACATCAACAGTGGCCTTCATTCAAGAATTTGCTCGGCTTGTATAAGCATTATTTATTGTCTAACGCATTAAAAGTAAAGGGGGATGATTTGCCGCACAAATTAGGTTCTATATCTTGATTATTAAATAAGCGATGTGCGCTTAGTGCTATTTTCGCAAAAAGAGTACATTCCAGTGGAAAACATGCAACGTTTCATGATATCGAAACAATGCCTTGCGCCATTTAATGCTATGGATCAAAATGTATCGCTTGTACTTGTTCTAGTAGCATACCAGTTTTCACGACACCTTCCTATGAAAATCAGGTAAAGGCCTACGGCCTTCCAAAAGTGCACCAACCAAGAGTGCCCTTACGCCCCATCGTATCCCTACACGGAACCCCAAACTTTGGGTTGTCAAAGTGGCTTTATCAGCGACTGTGCTTCATTACCAAGCATTCCGAGTGGACAGTTGATTCTGGTAAAGAGTTTTTGACCCGCATCAAACAACTAAAAGTGAAGGCACACGAGGTGATGGTGTCGTCTAACGTGATTTCACTGTTCACCTCCTTTCCATCCAATCTGGCTATCGAGACCATTGACGGTCTTCTCCTAGAGAAATATGATAAAACCGACAAAAAGCTCAAACGAGTGCATACCATCAAGCTCCCGGAATTGTGTCTAAAAACTTTTTACACGTTCCATGGCAAAGTTTACAAACAAAAGAAGGGGACACGAATGGGCTCGCCTCCGTCTGGCCTTATTGCCGAAGCTGTTTTGCACGGGCTCGAGCGGCTGGTCTTCAACTCGTCTCCCCCGGAGTTCTGGGTCGAAAATTTTGACGCCAATTTCGTTATCATCATGAGTAGCAAAGTGCACGCTTCCAAGACATTGCTAACCTCCATCTTTTCTGACATCCAGTTCACCATGGAAGAGGAGGTCAGCAATCACGTACCCTTTCTTGACGTCCAAGCTCGAAGACGGGAAGACAGAGACAACGGTCTAACGCAAGGCAACCAATACCATGCGCATCCTCTACTTCAGAAGCAACCACCCCGTCTGCCACAAACGCAGTTTTGTTAGAAAGCTCTGTCAACGCGTTCAGACACACTGCAGTGACGAATGCGGGAAAAAGGAGGAGATTAAGTACATGCATGCTCTATTTCAGGCCAGCGGATATCCTATGTCCTTTAAGAGGCCCCACCTTGAGCGGCCGAAAGGTGAGGACCGCAACTTCTGGCTCGCAAGCCCTTATGGGAAGAATGTATCAGAGGTAGCTGCTAGAATCCTGAGACCATTCGGGATCGGTGTGGCTCATAGGCCGGAGTCAACCATCAGACAGCAAACCATGCGACTCAAAGACCCACTAGCGTTGACAGAACAATCAGATGTTGTCTACAGCATACCATGCAAAGACTGTGATGCAAGGTAATTTGGTGAAACGGGGAGATGTCTGGGCACAAGATTGCATGAGCACCGTCAGGCAGTCGACCGCAAGGATAATTTTTCTATGGTCTATGACCACGCAGAGAAGAAGAACTACGTCTTCGCCTTTGACAAAGCTAGGGTCCTTGCCCGAGCCAATGCCAAAATGGCTAGATTGCTACTGGAAAGTTGGCCTTCGATTAGCAGACTTAACGGAGCCGTAGCCCTCCATCCCGCCTATCAGGCGTTGCGCAGAAAAATGTCGAACAAGGTCAACAGGAAAGTAAAATAAACTTGAGTTTTGAATAGAAACAAATTCGGAAGTAAAAAGAAGAGAAACCGACAAGGAACTAAATCATGACGTTGAGAGCAACTCAGGCGGACAGGAACACTCGTCAGTCGAGGTTGAGTACGTCAGCCAGTATGCTGATTTGCGACAGCCGAAAAGTGAGCACAGACCACACGAGCTCACAAGCGATCAATATCACGGTCAATCAACATCGATCAGGTAGGCCAAAGTGCGTGTGTCGAGCACGGATATGATAACAGGCACGGTGCAAGACTGCAACAGTCCAGGCGAACAGGAACAAGAGAGTGTCGGAAACGTCAGTCTCAAAATCAAACAGTCCATGTCTTCGCGTCTTATTCTTCCTCTTCTTTATGTCCCTCCCGTATGTAATTAGTATAATCGGGCCGGATTGATTCGATCCCGGGAAAAAAATACTTGTTTGCATTAGCAAAATACCAGAATATTTCGCAGTGTCGTTGGTATTTAAGATTTCATTATCTTTTGAGCATATATTTTACTTGTTTTCAAATTTATCTTTCGTCATATACCCGAGGATAAAAGGTTTAGTTCTAGGATAGGGATATTAATGCTCAGCGGCGTTCGATTTTGTCGGTACTTGGTTGTTTCTCTGATTTAAGAGGTTTTAAAATTGACCCCAGTTTATTACTATTTTTGTCATTTTCTTTCGAAAGCATGACTTGTGCTCAAAGATTTGTCATGTAGCTGTTTTTTCGAGCGTCAAGCTATTAAAAATATGCACGTCTCACTACAGAACATGTTATGAAGATGCGTACGCCCCGCCTGGATCGAACGTATTTTATCCCTTTCACCTTCAGACGTCTTTGGTTCACGGTTCGAACTTACCTCCTAGAGAGTGTCTTTATTTTTCTTGGGCTTATTTATTTTAAATTGTCATGCGTTGGTGCACATTGCGATTTGTCTCAGTCATCTTTGTCGTGAAACCTTAAAGTCCGTTCTTGGCAAAGCTCACTAACGTTTTTTCGAAAGGTGACCTCGTAGTCACTAGCTCAACACTAAGTCCACTTGTGAACGTCTGTCATGACTTGGTCAAGTGGAAGTGCCTTTTCGGAATGCTTGCTGCCTCTACCCTCTTTAACAGCCAATCAGAGGCTGACTCACACATAACCTCGTGTGATGACTGCCGAGCAGACCTCCCTTGTGACTCTGTCCGCTGGCTTGCGGTTTTGCGGTCGTCTGGCACTCAATTTCCTTCTGCCTATACTGCTATTCAGTCTGTAGGGAATAGAGCCTTCCTAAAAATTTGGCTTTACCAAGCTTCCTGTGCTCTGCTTAAGTATTAGACCTAGAAGATCACAGCCGTTAGGGTTATCTTTTTATGCCCGACTGAGTCAATACCACCAGACTCAACTATCGCTTAACTCCGACGATGGAAGCGAGAAGGTTTTCGGGACGTCAGTTTAAATATAATTTGGTCCCTGAATCCGCCCCCTATTCTTCTTCCTTACCTTTGGTAGATCATGAGCGCGATAAAATATCTGGACCCCGCAGTTTTCGGCATGTCTTAATACCTACGCGCGAATATCATCTATGCATGTGGATGTGAACATATAACTGTGCAATGCCCACCAAAATCAGAAATACAATTCGCTTAGACAATTGGGGTATTTTAACGTTGGAATAGTTGGGTTTATTTACCAACGTATAGGATCCACCAATGTGCATGCAATAAGGTAACTGCTCAGGCAGGATTTCCCAGGCAGTAGAAAAAATGACGTAAAGGCTAACTCATTTAGTAGGAAGGGTAGCAGATTTTTGTAATTCAATTGCGTCAATTGCATTTTCCATTTTAATTTTATTTAAACTTTAATAGGGGTTAAAAACACAGAAATTGGACGTCTTAATAATTAATTAAATAGCTTTAAGGAAATTAAAAATGCTATGGAAAAGTGTCTAATTGACTTTGAGTGCATTGGTTTTATACTTATGTCTGGTATGCTTCGTTTTCGGAGGGAGTCGAATTATTTGGTTTCCTTCTAAAATCAGGATACACACAGACAGTTTCGTAAGAAAAAGTTCCCAAAATGTCACGTTTTGGGAAAGCGCTTAGAGGAAATATCCTACTTTGGACATTTTGGTAAACATAGAGGGCATATTGTCTATTGAATTTGAGATTATTCCAACTGACAAATGCAACAGGTGATTGATAAACATATGCACGGGCTCTGTAGTCCTACTTCTTATTGACGTGTCATGAGTTCACGTGATGGCAGATCGTCTGCCCGCTACCGCTGGTAGAACAATCCGCTGTGGACTACAGCATACTATGCCAAGATTGTGATGCAAGGTATGATGGTAAAACGGGCAGAAGCCTGGGCACAATATTGCACCAGCACGGGCAATCAACCGCAACGATAAACACTCTATGATCTATGACCACACACAGCAGAAGAGGCACGTCTTCGCCTTGACAAAACAAAGGTCCTTGCTCGAGCTAATGGCAAAATGGCTAGATTGCTACTGGAACGTTGGTCTTCGACTGGCACACTCAACAGAGACATCGACCTCCATCCTGCCTACCAGACTTTGGGCAGAAGGCTCGAGTCAGTCCGAAAAAAGATCACTAGGAAAGCAAAATAAACTCGAGTGTGGAATAGAACCAGCTTCGGAACTAAAAAGGGGAGAAGCCGGCCAGGAAACACATCGCCGCCGCAACAACTAGGTTGAGATCAACTCAGGCAGGCAGGAACACTCGTCAGTCGAGGTTGAGTACGTCAGCCAGTATGCTGACTTGCGACAGCCGAAAAGTGAGCAGAGATCACACGAGCTCACCAGCGATCAATATCACGGTCAATCAACATCGATCAGTCAGGCCAAAGTGCGTGTGTCGAGCATGGATATAATAACGGGCACGGTGCAAGACTGCAACAGTCCCGGTGAACAGGAACAACCACCCAGTTACTCTGAAACCCAGAGAGTGTCCGAAACGTCAGTCTCAAAATAAATCGGTCTGTGTCCTCGTTCCTTCTTTTTTTTCTTCCTTGGGGATGGTGAAAACGAAATTATATCTGTATCTCGAATCTTTACGCATACTGACTACGGACTATGTCAATCTGTGCAAGTAGGCGAGATCGGCGTGTTGGGTGAGCGATTGTCACTAGTGGGTGGGGGCGAAATGCGCTCGCCACCTGTCGCCTTTGTCGGCCACCGCCCTCCTGAAACTGTCGAAGCAGAACTCTAACATCTGCAGAACACGCTTCTTGAAAACGGATACCCAGATATGTTCATCCTACGGAATATTTTCGAACGCACCAATACGCTTGCCACTTAAACTGCAGAAAAGACATACGTATTCACAATACTGTCTTTCTTAGGAGACGCAACAACCGAGCTGATAATACGGCGCCTTACCGCTGTGATCATAAAATCTTTACCAGCGACGAATTTACGCGTGCTATTCACGAACTCTCCCCTCCTCCGATTGGAAGTTTGGATGGGTTGAGATGTGTTTGCAGTATGACGCATTTTTACCTGCATGCGAATCGAAAAAAAATGTTTTGATCTACTGTGTCCGACACGCACTCCGGTTGGACAGGGTTAATATGCCTCATGTAGTTATAGCTCGACCCTGTTGGCGTTTTCCGAGTTGCGTCATCTATGTGTGTATTCATGTTCAAGTCTGCCTCGTGACGCGTGGTGATATAGCAGGGCACGGGGTTTTCGACACAACGTACGTCCGGCGACCACAACGACAGAGCTAATGCTCCAATGGCTGTCAGGTAAGCATAGCGACTTTCACAAATGCTAGCTCGCTTGATTCCGATAAGTTGCTTTCAGCGCCTGGGATTCGTCGATCGCTTCGGTACTATGCGCTGCGCGCTTGCAATTCTACAGCTCATTCATGGTACCTTTAAATATTGCGTACAATGAATTGGCTGTCATATATTGAGTGCAGAAACAAAGGTGAGCTATCTGCTTTTTGTTAAGGAGTGCATTTTTAACAAAACCAAGTCACGATCAGTGTAATAAGAAAGTTATCAACATGACATAATTTAATTAAATCATTAAGACATATGCAAATAGATATCGCGCTCATCATCTCCCGAAGAAGCAAAAGAAGAGGAGACCATTTTATGGACCAAAGTATATTTTACTGACGTTTCAAAATCTCTTTCTCCTCCATCGTAAGCACATTAGTCTGACGATGGAGGCGAGTGAGATATTGAAACGTCATCCAAATAATACTTTTGTCCATGAAATAGCTCCCCCTTCTTCCTCCTTGAGCGATGAAGCACACAATATGATGTCTGGACTTCGGAATCTTCGCGCATATAAACATATATTTATATTCATCATTAAATTTTTTTTAAAACTGGCTCTAACATTTGTTGGCATTATTTGCAGTTTTTGTCGGTATGCATTATTGTCTGGCGAAAACAACAACCAATGTCTTGCTTAAAATGCTTTACTAAGCCTTAGGGTACAGATCACAGGTATCTCGTAACATGCCTTTCAAGATACTACAGTAAAAATAGATGTCATTTGGAAATAAAAGTAATCAATAATGTAATCCGTGTTTTCTCCTCTGTACTTTTAGGATAACAATGTATAGTGTCGACTTTGCTAGATGTTCTTCGATCATATGTGGCCTTCTGGGATTAGCTGGAGTGATTGCTGGGTCAGTCCTCA